GTCACAGAAGTGACAGTCAGAACAGAGGTCAATGGATCCATGACAAACAGAAGACCACAAAATGGCTAAACAGAGGCCAATGGTTATTTAAGTCTCCCAAGGCGTGGGACTCTCGTGGTGGTATTTACAAAACATAATTGTTTATAAGGTCATTGTCAAATATTTTTTAAAATTTAAACAAACATATACATACGTTCCATTTTAAACAAATAGAGTTCAAAAAACAATCCACGTAATTGAAATATTAATATAATTTATAAAACATAACTTGTATAAAATAAATTATAGTAAGTCAAAACATACGTAAAATATATTATGGTGAGTCAAGATATAATATAACTCACCTTAATATTAATTCCTACTATTTCCCTCCTATTTACGCTAGCTTCTCGAGACCATTTCCTTCCTCCTTCCTGTCTTTTTTTTTTTTTTTTCTTCTTTTCCCCTCATTCCTTTACTCAATTCGTGGCCCCCTCTCTTATATATACACAAGCACATGATGCCTAAAAATGGTGACTCACTTCCCCTAAGGCCTAGATAACACATGTGGCACAACATCCTTCTCCTGGAGAGATTTATAAATCTTCTTAATTAATTGTTAGTTAATTGATGTTAGCCTTATCACTTTCTGTTGGTTTTATTATATTTGGTATGCTTATTCTTAGTATGACTATTGCCTACTATTATTATCATTATTATTCTTATTCCATATATTTATTTTATTATTGTAACGCCTCAAATTTCTAGCCCAAATGATAATGCAACAATCATGACTCTCTTAAAGGAAAACCAAATATAACTTCCCATACTTACATTACATAATAATAATAGTTCCTCATGCGATATTACATTGATTCAACAACAAGTAATAAACCAAATAAGCACCCCCAAGGGTTTACAATCTTCCAAGGCTTAAGCTCAGTACACAAAATGGTTATTCAAACCCACACATACATAGCCATTGGCTTACAAATAGGATCAAAGCAAATGAGAACTTTAATGCTCTCAACACACACATTTTCACACCCTCAATTAGGCAGATTCACCACGTCTTTTCCTGCACAAAAATCCGGTAGGGTGAGCATAAAGCCCAGTAGGAAATCCTTAACAAAGTATATGAATGTACATGCCATGCCATGCTTTTTTGAAAATAAAACACATCTTCATCTTTTGAAAATCATCATACTCAATGATGTTATGCAACTTCAATTGTTCAAAATTTATTTAATTAAAGGGGACGGTAAATACAACTCTGGTAATCCCTAGGTCGGTGTCTGCAAGTAGACTATACGAGTACTACCAATTGTCATTTTTACCGGTATTAACCGGAAGGCTCGACACCTATCCACGCAACTTTCTGGTCTTTCACCAAGGACACTCAGGCCAACTTAAACAATTTCATCTACACCACCTATCAAGACTTATCACCGTATTTACCCCAAAATCATTTCATGAAAACCCATTTCCCAACATTCTTTTCTCAATACAAATTTCCAAAGCTTAACATAGTCCAATGAATTGAAATGCCAATGTATGCTTAATAATGCAATTCAACATTATTTCCATATTCAATTGTTCCACACAATATACCATTGTGATCAAAATTCCCAATCCTCTTTTCATCACAATTCCACAAGAGGAATATATATATATATATATATACTTTTATATCCAATTCATTCAAGAGAATAACGTAATTCCCACATTTTGAGCAATCTTAACAGTTTAGTCAATTCAAGACTAAATCAACATTTTAACAACAATTTTCAAAATAAACAACATTTCTCATTTTTTTTTTCACAAAATTCGTCATTTATGTATAAATAAACAATTTTCAAAACATCCATTTATTTTGGTATACAAAATAAATATGACAACATCTTCCAAGGATTTTCAACATCTTTCAAAGAAAAAACCCAATTTCTAGGTTTTCTCACCAAAACCATTTATCTCCAAGATATTTAGAAGAATCTCCCCAAAATCATCTTTCTTCAATCAATATGGTTCAAAACCTTCAATTTCTATTTTAAAAGGAAAAGAAATTAAATCCTCTTTCAAAATCACTCATCTTCTTGAAATCAACAATCAATTTCTCAAAGTTAATCAAAGGATGATTTCGAAAATCAACTAGATCTTGCAAAAACATATATATAACTCTAAGAAAATTCCTATCTCAAGTTTTGAAGAAGAAATGAGATGAAACCCCCAAAATTAACGGTGTCGAAACTCGATCTTCACCGCACACAACGAAACCCTCGAGATGATATTCAACTTTGATGAAGAACTTAGGTCTAAATCCCAATGAATTTGGAGAAATCAAAGAGAGAAGATGACTTCTAGAGAGAGAAGCTCCCGATCTGGAATTCTGGAGAGTTTTAGAGAGACAAAGAGAACTGAAAAAGTGATATAAAATATCAGATTCACGAACTGATATAACATGGTTCGCTCGAGCGTGGAATGCCCCCCGTTCGAGCGTCAAATATACTAACCCAATACTTTTGCAGACAGGTCAAACTTCTGAAACCAAACATTCTCTGCTCGAGCGCATAAACGGCCGCTCGAGCAGACAAGCAACTTCGAATGCATTTTGCATTTTTGTTTTGGGGGCGCTGCCCCCTGGACCCCTGCGAACTGACCGGGCAGCTCGACCCCCGCTAGGGCGTTGCCCTTGGACCCGCCAAAGGGCGCTGCTTCCTGAACCCCCGCGAGTTGACCAGGCAGCTCGACCCCCGACCAGCCCAGTCGAAGTGGCAAATCATGAAAAAATGATCGAAACTGGGATCGCTACAATTATTATTGTTATTATTTATTTATTTATTGTTTTACTAAAAAAATAATATCACATACAACCACAATTATATATAACTATAAATATTTACGTGGTATTTAATTAAACGTTCAGGGGGTCACATTATGTGCGATTTACCCTATTTAAATTTGAAAATAAATACATAATCCCCTTATGTCTACCATGTATTTCACACTTACTGTTAAGTTATACGAAATGTTTAACGGTACATTTCAGTCTACAAATTATATGGTCATTTTCAAATGTTAGGAAATAAACTGCACATAAGTCAAATCACAAGAAGTAAAATGAAATTTACTCTTCGTTATTTATGCTTGCATTTTCGCATGTTTTTTAAAAATTAAGTTACAAAAATTATTTTAATTTACTTTCAAAAGTTTTTGAGTAAATTACAAATACATTCCCTGAGATTTGCTTAAAGTACAGATTGTCTCTTGTAGTTTGAAAATTTACAAATACTCCCTTGTTAAATTTTTTTATTTAACAGAATTAACAAAAAAAAAAAATAATTGCTCTCTGTACAATAATAAAATTACCTAAATTATTAATTAAATATATTGATAACATCATTGAAAACTGTTAATTGACTTGATGATTTATTAATAGGGGCGATTTGTTATGAAATTAAAAACCTCATAAGGTGGAATATGATTTTTAAAACCTCATAAGGTGGAATATGATTTTTAAAATCACAGAGAATAATTTGTATTTTAATCAAACTTGAGGAATGTACTTATAATTTACCCTTTTAATTAATAAACTATCATTTTATGCTTTTGCCCTTGTAAATTTTATGTTTTAGGAATAAATTTAACATAAATAGAAATGAGAATAGTAAATTTAAGTTTTACAAAGATAATATACTCCATAAACCTTAAAATATAAACATTTTAAATTATTAAATAGAATTTAAAAATTGAGCCCACTAGGCTATACAATGCCTCTCCCGTCCGATTATGGATGGGAAAGTAGGGCTGAGTAGCAGATATACCGATCTGCAAAAATTGACCGACCGAACCGAACCGATCCGCTGCATTTTGGACGGATGCGTGATGACTAGCGGATGGTTACGGATTGATTTTCTCCAATCCGCCAATCCAGCGAACGGATGGCGAATTTGAAATTCCTTTGGCCACAATCGAACCGAAAAACCGCGAGCACCCCTAGTAATTTATAAGACTTTGTGTTTTCAATTTGTTTAAATATTCTGTTTGTGTTTTCAATTAAAAAAGAATTTAAATATTCTATTGAAAAAAGTTTTCAACTTCAATATATTTTTTGAATTGAAAAAAATAAACGTATTATTTATCTATATTTTTTGATTTTTAAATCTATCTCTAAAAATAATAAATAGAAAATATGATATATGCCGGTTGATTTTTATTTTCAAAAACAGATATAGATGTAACAATATAGAGACATACAATTTCTATTACTGCTCTGTTCATGGTTTTTGTGCTTTGAATTATTTTTAGGAAAAAGCCCAGTGGAGGTGACCCCCACTACCCCCATTGTTTATTGATTGGTCCAATTTTTATTTTTTTATTTTTTATTTTTGGCCTTGGTCTCACAGCTCCCCACGTGGAGGTGGGGGTGCTAGGGGTCACTCCCCACTGGGGGTCCCAGCACTGCCGTTGTTTTTATATTTTAAGAATCACATATTGTAATACTTTATGTGGATGAGGTATATTGTGATTGTAGTATGTGGACGAAGTATGCAGTGATTGTGATATTCTAAAGTTTCAAACTTTCTTGTTTTGGATGAGGCATGCAATGATTGTAATATTTTTTTAAGTCATTGACTGTAATACTTTATTCTTTTTTTTTTAAGAAGTGCACAAGTTGAATTATGTTGAAAATTTATAAAATTTTAAACCGCCAAACTGATTCACATCCATCCGTCAATCCGCTTAATCCACATCCGTCGGATTGGCGAACGGATGCAAATTAATTTTTTCCAATCCGTTAATCTAACGAACAGATAGCGAATTAAAAATTTTGTAGCCGCAATCGATCTACGCCCACCCCTATGAGAAAGAAGTTCATCCCGAATATTAAAACAATGTAAATTGATCACACCTCAAGGGTGTTAAGCGTAATTTACCATTTACCTGTTTTTTTTCAAAATACCACAATTGTTGTGGCCGCTTTCAGTTTGATGCCTGTCGGCCAACTTGGGGGAAGCAAAAAATGGCTTATTAGTTTTTGAATTTCGAGCGAATTTCGTTTCATATTTCTGAATCGAAACCCTAAATCAAACAATGGTGAAGGGAATCGTTGGGGGCCAAAACCTTCCTGCAGATGTGACTCAGCTGATCGATCAGTTGGAGCGCCATTGCTTGGCTCCAGATGGATCTCTCGTCTCCAAATCCACCTTTTACGATCTCCAACTCGTACTTTCTCTCTCACATTGATTTACATTGTATATGATCTGTTAAAGTTTGTGATTGATGGGCTGATTTGTGTTGCAGGCGAGAGATGAAATGTCGAGAGAGAGATTGCGGTACTTGGAAGCAATGGTAAAACACTGTTTTTTTTTTTGGGTACATTTTAGGAATTGGTTTTGTCTAGGGTTTATATGTGATTGTGTGTTTTGCGGAATTAGAATATTATATGTGTGTGTATATTTTTTAAAATTTTACATCTAAACTTTTGGACTGTTGGATTAGAATGGAACATGGTTGAATTTGAAAATGTTTTAGGAGTTATTTACTGAATGTGAAGTTCTTAATTTACGAAACCTGGAGTTTTAAATTAACGGAATTATAGACTAAAGTTCTGAAAAAAATGGGAAGTAGAAAAATAATATCAAACTCATGAAAGTGCAGGTGATTTATGCAAATGAATATTGGACTTTCATGAGTTTGTAATTAATTTTTTCTACTTTTGACTTTTTTAAAATTTCCTAAAAAACAAAGTGTGAGCAATTAACATTGAAATTATAGAAAAATTCACACCAAATGGACTCTACAAGTTATATAGTAGTATATATATGTTAATTGATGATCAATGGGTTGATAGTGGGTGGTGTTTATTTAGGCAATTTATTCCGAGGCAACTGCCATGGTAGAAGAGTATCAGCAGGCTGTTGCAGTGGCTAACCTTGGAGGTATTCGTGATGTCCAGGGTCTATACCCGCAACTTGGCCTGAAGAACTCACCTCAGGTTTCAAATTTTCATTGTTTTGTAGTTAGTTTTTATTTTGGATTACAATGTATCTCAATTACAATGAAGTAGAATAAATCATCAAATACAACCCAAATCATAATTACATATAAACTTCCAAAGAGGGTGAAAGACCCCAAATAAAATAAGGGGAATAAACCCACAGGTAGGTGGGGAGACTCAAACTCCTTACCACCTAATCAAATGCAAGAGCTCTTGGCCAGCCGCGTTGGTTGTTTTGAAGTTAGTCTCAACATAGATAATTTGTATGATTATTTTGAAATATTATTTTTATCCGTATAAATTGGGAGTCGAAGTACATAAACAAACAGACAATCTAAGTTGCATTCATTATATCTCCAATATTTGCCTAATTTAACAAGTGCATTGCAAATGCAAATTTGCCAGTGTAAGACATGTGTAATGTTAGAGATGCATACTATGCTGAAGGAGGAGCCTAGTTAAACATATATAATTGTCAGAACACATTGCACAAAGCTAGTCTTTAAAAGGATTTTGAAAAGAACTAACACTCTGTTTAGTTTCAATTTTCAGAATTCACTTCACAGAAAATTCTACTTTTTCATTTTTCATATTTTTTTGTTTTCATTGAATTTTTTTAATATTTTAAGTATTTTTTTTTAATTTTTAGAGACACCTAACATAAATATACTTAAAAAGTATAATTTCTGTGAAAAAAATCTTTAAAAAATTGACTCAATATCAAAAATACAAAAATTTAATACATTTTTCGTATTTTTGTGTATTTATTAATTTTTTAAAATATTTTTTTACAAATATTTTAGTATTTAGACACATTTAAGTAAGGTGCATATAAAAAAGTAAAAAAATTGCTTAAAATTTTAAAAATATTCACAAAAAAACACGAAAAACAAAAAACAAAAAACCCAATTTTTAGATTGAGGGTATGTTTGGTTTGTGTTTGAGAGATGTGTTTTAGAGATAAAAAGTACGAAAAGTTGTTTGGTTTGGTTTTTTTCAAAAGATGTTTTGGAAAATTATTTTGAGAGAGAGTTTTGGAAAAAGTGATTGATTTGATGTGTGTGAGAGAGAGATTTGTTTGGAAAACTTGTTTGGTTTACAAGTTTTGAGAAATTTTTTTGGGAAAATTTGTTTTGTTTGATTACTTTTAAAAACTTATTTGTAGAGAAAATTTTCCAAAAATTTTTCAGAAATACAAACCAAACGAACCCTGAGTTTTTTGTTTTTCGTATTTTTTGTTTTGTTTCTAGTGAATATTTTTAAAATTTTAAGTTTTTTTTTTATTTTTATTTTAAATACACCTTACTTAGATGCATCTAAATAGTAAAATATTTGTGAAAAAATATTTTAAAAAATTAATAAATAAACAAAAATACGACAAATGTACTAGATTTTCGTATTTTTTTTGTATTTTTGATATTTAGGCCTGGTTTGGCTTATACTATATAAGCCAAAAATCCAAAAAGTTACTCCAAAATCCAAAAAGATATCACTATTCACCAAAAAAAAAAATAATAATAATAATTTTTTTCTGCCCAAGTACACACCGAATTGACAACAAGCCAGTTGCTGTGCAGCGGCAGTGCACCTAAATGAAAGGATTGGGTGTGATTTGCACACACACCGTTGTTCGGCCTGTGGGGCCTATCACAGATTTCGTTTTGATAATCTGAACCGTTAAATGTGTAGAACTCGTCGAGTACTATATGTCTGCAAAAAATCACATTGATTGAATATCGATAACTATATGATCAAATCAGTTATGTACAACAAATGAATGGTGTTATAATTAATGATTGAAAAATAAATAAGTCTGATCAGATAGCTATCGATGTTCGATTAACATGATTTTTTATAGATCCATAGTGTTCGACGAGTTACACACATTGAACGGTTCAGATTATTAAAATGGGACCTGTGATAACCCCCACAGGCCAAACAAAACCGTCCAGCGCTTTGTACAAAAATTAGGCAATAATTTCCATAGCCAATTCGCTCTAGCCGGTTGTACGGCTGGGGCCCACCTCTCACTAATCATCTCTTACACACTTTTTTTATACAATATTTTAATACACATTTTTTCATAAAAAGCTAAAAAGTTAACCCAAACCTCCATATTTTTTTCTCAACTTTTTTAGTCCAAAAAGACAAAAAGTGCACTTTTTTAGAACACCCCAAACCAGCCCTGAATCTTTTAAAGATTTTTTTCACAAACATTATACTTTTTAAGTGTATTTATGTTAAGTGTGTCTAAAAATTAAAAAAATTGCTTAAAATATTAAAAATTTTTAGTGAAAACAAAAAATTAAGGAAAACGAAAAAGTAGAATTTTTTGAAAAGTGAATTCTGAAAACTGAAACCAAACAAAGTGATTTTGCTTTCATCTCATGTTTGACAGTGTAGATTTTATCTTTTAGCAGTGTAGTAGTCTTGAAATGTGAAGAACTATGATAAGAAATCCATTAAATTCAGGTTTATGAGGCACTTGAGCACCGGTTTGTCGTTGCAGAAGCAGCTCAAAAATTGAGGCTTCCTCTGATTTCCAAGGATGGTGAGATTCATGAGGAAGAAATTGAAAAATGGAGTACACTGTCAAGAAGCTCCCTCGATAGCACGAGTACTAACTTCACAATTAACTCAAGCTCAAATTCTACAAATTACATGAATATTTCTTCAACTAGTGCTGGTGGTAGTGCAAATAATGCATTTTCTAGTAGTTCTACTGATGCAGCTGAACTTGGAGTTGGTGGTGTTCCTAATAAATTCCTTGGAATAACGCCTGCTTATTTATGGCAAACTCAGCTCCAACAAGCAGCATTATCCACGGTTAGACACTTTATATGGTGATAGGATACTCCATCTTTTAGATAAATTATTTTGTGCCTTTAGTAAAGAGATTTATTTCAATCCATGTGGACATGTATATATTGTGTTTTTAGATTGTTGTCAATATTTATGATCCATAGTTATGTCAATTTTTATTTTTTCCTTTTTGTTCTTCTGAATAAACTCTATAATGATGTTAATGGCGAAGTAAATTATCTTCTATTCCCCTTCTATTGTAGGACATGGCCGAGTACCAGATATCACTATTCCGTGAAATTGAGGGCCGTTTGAAAGCTAAATGTGATAAGTTAGCAAATGCCTTTGTCATAGACGACATTGGTTAGTATCAAACTCTCTCTTTCTCTCTCTCGCACGCGCGTGTGTGCATACACAAGTGCTCATGTTTTATTATCTCTCATGGACTACTCATTATCTCACGGTGTATATTTGTGTTCCATATTTTTTGGCCGGGCAAGTTTGGCAACAACATAAAATAGTCGAAAAGACAAAAAGCCATTACCAAAAAGTCAACTCTTCTCTCTACTTTTTTGCACGTCTTTTCATAAAAGGCCAATAAGCCAACTAAAATAGCTAGTTTCCAAAACAACCTTAAGTAGCCAAACTTTTATTATGCCCAGTTCGAATATCAGCTTAATTGTGCATTATGACTGATGATTTGGATACAATGCCTAGATCTATAGCCACGAAACATGAATTGCACTAATGTTTTGTGCAAGGAATGTTTCAAGCATAGGGCTGCTTGCGTTGGTAGATTGGTCAAAATTAATGAAGAAATATTGCATCACTTTATGATGAAAAATGTATTAGATGCACCAACATAAAGAGAGATTATGTGCATAATATTACCCCTTCTTTGGTGTTTCAGACACTTCAACTGGACATCAAAATTCAAGTGCTCGGCTTCCGGAAAGGTTTGTGTTATTTTTTCATGTTGTCGTTATTTATCAAGTAATATCTCTCCAAAATGTCGAGTCCACAATGATATACAAATTTTTAATTTTGGAAGTTTCAAATAATTCCGTATATATACAAAATATATACTGCCATATACATAAATCCCGAATATTTCAACAGTAATATGATCACACATACAAGCCGTGGTACCATGTTTTATATTCTTCTTGTTGCCATTTAAATGAATAAGATTTGAAGCTTTGCCAGATCAAATTGATCAAAGAAACACTTCAGAAAAAGATGAACATTTTAAAATTTTCTTTTGATAACTAGATGATTATTCATTTGAATTCATCTCATACTTTGCTTTACTTCAATAGCAATGACTTCAGAACCTGTCATTCTTGGATTTTTATTAAAACTGCTTATTCTTAATTTGCCAAAGAATCCAAAACTACCTAAACGGGCATGTATCAATTTTCTTTAATATGTACTTCAATTGTCAGAAACAACTTTCTCAAAAGTTCAGTTTGTAAGATTTAATGCATAACATGTATAGATAAAAGGAAAAAATAAATTGTGTATTGATAGATGTATATAATGGTGTGTTGAGCTCTCTCCTTTATAGAGGAGAGGGAGAACAATTACAAACCGAAAGTAGAAGCACAAACCAAACAACATTATTAAAGGTGCATTATTAAAGTATACTAATTATTATACTAACCTAATTATTAAAGAAACATTTTACATATTATATTCTAACAGCCCCCTCAAACTCAAGGAGGATAGGAACCAACCAACTTGAGTTTGGAGAGAGTAACAAAACAGAAAAATAAAATAAAATAAAAGTAGGATATGAGACGCTGTATGGTCGTGTCAGACCGTTGTAAAAGACACTGTATAGTCGTGTCGGACCGTTGTAGCAGCTAACCGGAATTAATGTCGGGACAGTTTATGGAGTCTTGCCGGACCCATGTAAAAGCTAACCGGAATCAATGTCGGGACAGTTTACGGAGTCTTGCCGGACCCATGTAAAAGCTAACCGGAATCAATGTCGGTACAGATTATGGGGTCATGTCGGACCGTTGTAGAATACACTGTATGATAGTGTATATAGGCTGCCCAAATATATATACATGGATATATATATCGAGCCCTCAAAAGTCGCGCCCTCAAAAGGCGCGCCCACTTCATCAAAAGACGTGCCCGACAGAAAGCGTCGAGCAATCAAAAGGGGCGCCGGACACGCGGCGATGCACGTGACCGACAGAGTGTCATGTCGTCCTCTGCGGCATTGTCTATATGAACCAAAGCGAAGCCTGAGGCTTTGAAGCAGAACAAACCAGTTGAAACCTCTTCGTTCTCTGAGAGCTTTTCTCTAAGAGCTGCAAACCCTGAAACACTCTGTAACATCTGAAACACTCAGCAACCCATAACATGGCCTCTTCTTCCCGTTCAACTACCCAGAACATGGCCTCTTCTTCCCGTGGTCTGCTCACTCTTTTTCCCGACCTCAACGAGTCCACAAGAGAGATAACTGGTGCAGTTGCCCGTGAATCTCAACCAAGCGCCCCTGAGTTTGTTCCGTTGACCTTTCCTATGCGGTCTGTGGAGCAAAGAATGGCAGCACAATCAGATATTGAGGCCAATCAGTATACATTGAAGTCATGTGTGGAGACGATGACGGCAGTCACAAACTTGTCGCACCGGCTTCAGAGTAGGACAAATGAGGTGCAGCAGTTAAACGCCCAACTGGCTCTGCTCCAGCGCATGTATAAAGATGCGCGAGCAGAGATATGTGTGCTGAAAGCGGAAAACAAGGATCTGAAGCGGAAGGCCACCATTATGTTCCGATTCGGAGGTCCGTCATATGCTGCAGTGGAGGAGCAGGAGGGAGTGAACGTGCTCGGCGGCGCGGGAAACACAGAGGCAGCACCGTCAAGGGCCGCCCAGGACATAGGCAAGAAGAAGAGACCGGCGGCAGAGTAGAGAAGAAAAATCCCGCCTGTGAATGTGGTGGTTGTGGTGTTGGTTTTTTTTATTTTTATTGTGGTGTAAAATTGTGATCGGGATTGATCCCGGCATGAAAAAATGACAAGTTTGTGGAATGAAAAGCGAGTTGGTTGTGAATGGATTTTTTTTTTTTTTTGGAATAAAATCAGCCATCATTCAGTAATGCAGTTGCTAAAGAGAAATATTAAAAGAGAGTGGTGGAAAGAAAAATTTAAAAGAAATGATGGGAAAGAAAAATAAAATGAGTATTTAAAAGAGTGAAAAAGTAGTTTGGAGAAAATAAATAAAAAAAATTGATTTTGAAATCAAACGGAAGAGATTGGGGAAATAAGGAAAGTGGTTCACGTGGTTGTTTTTTTTTTTTTTTTGGAATGAAAAAAAGAAGATAAAATAAAATAAATAAAGGTAATGTTGAGGGCGGTGGTGTAGTGGTTTATGTGTAGTTGATACCAGCTTTGTCTGGTACTCATTACTTGAGCATTATACAACTCCAAATAAAATAAATAAAGGAAAAGAGGGGGATAAAACCCATGTGCTCTGCTTCACCGTCTCCAAACAAGAGAGAGAAAGAGGGAAAGACTGCAGCGCACACTAGCGCCAGGCCAACAAGAAAATACATAAAAAGGTGCTGGGGTTCTTGAAGCTCTCGTCATTGTCACTCCGTTTGAGGTGGTGAAAATAAGACTGCAACAGCAGAGAGGATTGAGTCACGAGCTATTAAAGTACAAAGGCCCTGTACACTGTGCTCGTTTGATCATCCGTGAAGAAGGCATCCCTGAAGAACGAAGGCAGAGGTAGAGATCTCGGCGACGGAGACAGCGAGATCGCCGATCCGGCGTATACATCGCCAGAGACCGATTTGAGATCGTCGATTCGGATCTGCTTCGGTACGATCAGATCGTCGCTAGCCTTCTTCGCCGGCTGACGATGACCGTTGATCTTTGAATCGAGAGACTCACCTCTCCTCAAAATCATCACCTGTCCCATCACGAGATTATTGTGATGGTAGTTGTTGTGGTTGTGACTCCTTCTCAGATGTGAGAAGAAAGGTTTCTCTTGGAAAGGTTTGAAGCTCAGGTTGAGCTCATAGCTCTTCTCTGCGAAGACGAGGATGACGAGACACGTGGCCCGGCTCCGATCGTCCATCTGAGTTCGTCGGAAGGCGTGTTGGCTCGCGACAGGAGCTCGGCGGAGGTGTGGAAGCTTGATTTGCTGGGCTGAGTCCGACCCGACTATACGAGTCGGGGCGTGTGTGGTTGACTTGGGTGATCGAATCTTGATAACCGGGTCGGCCTACCAGGGTGCACTACACGGGTTCTATCTGTGGCAAAGTGGTAAATTGGCGAAGATAGAAGAAGTACCCGATTAGTTCTCGGGATTTTTGTTTTTTTTTTTTTTTGAGAAATCTGATTGGTTGATTTTATGGGATAACACAGCATTTGGATATGATCACCTTTGAGACTGTGTATATACAGAAGAGAGGGGTTGAGGTCCAGCGGGCAGCTAAGGCGAGGCTGCCGCTCGCCGGTGAACCAAAATTATTAGATTCTTAACCTTGCTCTGATACCATGTTGAAATAAATGTATAGAGAGAAAAGAAATAGAGAATTGTATTATTGATTGATGTATATAATGGTGTGTTGAGCTCTCTCCTTTATAGAGGAGAGGGAGAACAATTACAAACCGAAAGTAGAAGCACAAACCAAACAACATTATTAAAGGTACATTATTAAAGCATACTAATTATTATACTAACCTAATTATTAAAGCAACATTTTACATATTATATTCTAACACAGTTGCCTTTAACTTCTGTTCTTTTCTTTACCGGTCATTTATACAGGGTAAAGTTAATTATTGAGGAGATCGAGAGGGAAGAGGCAGCTCTGAGGGAGGATCTATATTCGGCAGACAGAAAATTTGCTGAATATTACAATGTATATGAATATGAGTTTTGTATTATCCATATCTTGTTTTTTTATTCCCTATTATTATTTTAATCAGAATTTCGCTTTGTAGTACAAGTTTGTTGTCATATCATATGTAGGAAGCATATGCTATATATCAGATGATGTGTGACTTGTAAATCATTTTGTCCCTACAAGGTCTTAGAGCAGATACTCGGCGTGCTTATCAAGCTTGTTAAAGATTTGAAGTTGCAACATCAACATAATTATGTAAGCTTGCCACTACTTTGTTATCTTGAACACTAACACTGCATAATACACATGTAACAGTATTAGGTAAATTCCCTTTCCATAATATATGTTCTTTTCTTCCTTGGACGGACATTTGAACTAATTTATTTTAATATTTAATAGGATGAACTTCAAAAAACTTGGCTGTGCAAAAGATGTGAGACCATGAATGCAAAATTGAGGTTTGTATCACCTACTATCGTTTTCTGCTTCTTTCTTTGAACAATTTGTTTTGATTAGCCTTAAACTCATTCATAATGAATTTAAAGAATGTTAAGAGTATCTTCAGATTCTTCCAAGTGGTTAAGTGTGACAGCAAGGCTGATGCAATGAAAACACTGAGACATGCTTAAGTTTGGACAACGTTTCTTCTATTTTTAAATAACAACGGATTTGGAAATTGTTATCTTTCAAAACTCCAACCAATGACTTCAAATTGTTTGCTACTGCAGACTGCCCTTTGTAAAATTTCAGTATCCATTTTTCATAGAATTGTGAATTAATATGCCAAACACTCTTATCAGTTTACAATTACACAATTTATAGTCAATATGGTGGCCTGGTAACTCCTTTTACATGAGAAAGATCACATGCTATTTTCTCACTGTATTGTGTTTTCTTTATTGTGTTACCCGATCAATTGACCAAATGTTAGTGAGATGGTGGAGTTCAATTTGTTTAAGTTTTGAATCTTGGTCATAATTCCTACATGAAGAAAGTCAATTGTCATTTTGCGAGAGTTGCATCTGATGAACCTTTGGTATGTGTTAGTATATATATTTTTTTAAATTTTTTTTATAGAACACATGTCCATCGATTGTTCTTATGGTTATCTTTCCCACTAGTTTTATATTGTCTCTTGCCCCCAAAAATTTATACAAGCATTTTGCCACTTATGCCTCGTGAATCCCAATTGATTTTTATTTGATGAAAAATGATGCTTCCTATTTTTTATAGGCACTGATACACTGCATTGTTGACTTAGGGTTCTAGAACATATTCTTCTGCTTGAGACTTACACTCAGGAATCAATTCCCGCTCTCCATAAAATAAGGTGATGAATGATGACACTGGTTCAAATTCGTATCGAGCTAATTGTTCAGAGAGGGATTTTGATTGGTTTATCTTTTGTTCCAGGAATTATCTGGTTGAGGCTACAGAAGAAGCTTCGCTTGCATACAATAAAGCGGTAAGTTTTGTCTTAAATGTCATAGCGTTCTAGCATATTGCTATATGTTCTGTTTCTTCTCTTTTTTCTTTTTTGTTTACGCCTTTGTGTGGTTTTTAATTCCAGAGTTGGATATGAACTCTTTAATTGTAGATGGAACATTTGAATGGTAGTTTAAGGAATCATCACTCGTTTATGAAACTGTTAAGGTTTTTTCAACCATAATTAATCGCACTACTAGCTTTGTCTTGAAACAAGGTCGACAATTTGCCCGAACGGTCAACTCACTTGTTCATCATTTTTTAGATGACGAGCCATATTAAATTTCATTTGTTTGGAGTTTTTATTGTTTTGGCTTTTAGCAAATAAGAATATCCATACTTGTTTTCAAATTTTAGAGTTCCTTTTGTTGATTTTCCAACAATATTTATGTGGCAAACCAAGGTATTTGCAATTGTAAAATGTGCACTTCATATAATCTTTCATTTTTTATTCAAACTTCTGCAGTGTGGCAATTAATCTTTCATTTTTTTTTTAATTTATTATTTTGATTGATGTTTGTAATGTTATGCACCAATATGTTGCTACCATGTACCCTCTCATACTGATACTACGGTCTTTTTACACTTTTGTGATAGAAAATGTGTGGTAACAACATTTTGGTATGTGAAATTGTCATTTCCCTATTTCGAATAAGATACTGCGCGAGTGCATGTGTTTTTCGATATGAACAGTTGTAATGCTGAAGTTTTTACCAGGTTACACGGCTACGGGAATACCAAGGTGTTGATCCTCACTTTGATACAATTGCAAGGCAATACCATGATATAGTAAAGGTAATAATATTAATTTTGCATGTAGAAAGATGATTCTTATTCAGATACTTGGTTTACTTCTGATTTCATATTTTCTTTTAACAGAAATTGGAAAATATGCAATGGACAATTCGCCAAGTTGAAATGGACCTGAATCGTTTACCAGACCACCCTAGCACCTAAGTTACATTGTTGTATTTGTTTTTTTATTCTGAGATTGTGTTTTGTTGTATTGTGTGTGTGTGTGTTGTGTTTTAGCATCATAGCATGTGATATTCTGGTAAGAGATGGTGTATTACTTGCCTTGAAATGTTGGTTTTTTTTACATTACATATATGCATATATAGATTGAAATTAAAAACGATATCATCTCTGAATAATATCATTGGAGATTTACCAGTGATATTTATATATCTTTTTTGAAACATCATCGGTGTAGAGCTGTTATTCACTGCCTATTTGGCATTGCTGCAAACACATCACAACCTTTTTTGGGATGTGTTTGTTGCAATGTCACAACTGAATTAAAAAAAATTAGTATAGAGCGGTACATGAGGGTAGGCCTGGGCTCTAAATTATAAGATTCCATGTGTATAGGGGTGTTTTGAGAAGTTGGTAAAAAGTTAACTTTTAGTTTTTTATCAAGCTTTTTGGCTTTTTTAGAAAATGATTTGAAAAGTTGGTAAAAAGTTGGGTTTTGACTTCTTTTGTTAATATTTATTTATAGTGTCAAATCAAAGTAAAATGACCAAAATATTCTCGTCAAACTTTGGAATTCTACACAATTTGTGAACTTAGAGGGTATTTACATAATTTGACACGGCAGCGTTTTTATCCCATCCTAAATGCAACAATTGCTTTTTTAGGTTTTTTCTTTGATGATTAAAAAAGGATTCTGTGGTGTCATCATGGCCTCGTGGGTCTTGACCCCGGGATAACTAGTTGCCAATCAGGAATCAACCCCCACCAAGTGAGGGACTCATCACCAGGGCACTAATGGAGCGTAACCACACGTCCCAACAGAGAATAGGTTGTCGAGAAGAGTACAAGACGTCTTTTCTGAAAAGATTTTAAACATCCCCTCTCAAAAATCGACCTTAGCTTAGTGCTGCATTCTCCAGCCAGACCACCAACCCTGGTGGTCTTTTTAGTTGGCTCAGCTTTTTTCCGCAGCACAAAAACGCCCAAAACGGCACTAGGTTAATAGATTTCTCTCAATTTGTCTAGGTTCGATAAATATTGGGATTATTGACTTTTTGTTGATGATGGAGTGCAAATGTAAGAAATGACGTAATAAGACATAAAAGAAAAGTGAAAATTACCAATTGAGGCTTGAGCTGTTAACCCTACATCCATTTCTTGATTCTTCTTAAATCTAAAGCTGTGTTATTCGTACAAAAATAAACATAGAATAAAAGGAGAAATGTGGGCTTCACAAATAAATCACTCTATTCTGTTTTTAATTCACAAAGCGGATTGGATTGGTCCGCGGATAGTTTTTTATAGGTAGATTATTTATTAAAAAAATATTAATATGATAATTATAATTACATGATTTTTTTAGGGGTGCAATTTGGACTTGTTCGATCGGGTTGGGAGGTTGTCTAAGCCCAATCCAAGTTGTACTGAGATCTGCCGAGGTCTGCCCAGGCCCGAATTGTAACTCAAAATTATTTGCCCAAGCCCGACTCGAGTTAAATGCGAATTGCTCGAGTTACTCGAATTGTAAATGAATTTTTTTTTTTACAGCTATATTATTAAATTATTAAAATTTGACTCTATTTACAAATTTTTTATTTTATTTTATTTTGTAGAAAATCATTAATATCCTCAAAACAAATAATTTATATAATGTAAGAGAGATGTCGCTATAGTAGTTATTACAATTTATGAGTGAAAATAAAAAAAGTAAGATTTTATGTTATTTTTATATGTAATAATATATATTCAATATGATTTAATAATTTAAATTACTTTAATATCATGCAGGGGCGGAGGGAAGGAGGGCTCAGGGGGGTCATGTGCCCCCTGAGTTTTGGGATTTTTTTTTTTTTTTTACAAACATAAAAAAATATTTTATATAAAAATAAATTATAAAAATATTATTTTGAGTAAAATGTCAATGATATTTTTAAAATTATAAGAACAATAATTATTATTTTGATTGAAAATAAAGAGACTATGATATTATTATCTATGAAAATTTCAATATAATAGTGATCTCTATCATTATTGATATGCAAACATAATTAATTTCAACGAAAATATAGAATTTATTAAATTGGTAAGTTACATTTAATATGCAGGGTTCACCCACCATGTGTTTCTTTATTATTGGTTGGTAATATCACATGCCAATGATTGCGTGGTATGACTATTATATTAAATTTTTACGCATATATTGTAAAAAAAAATTTACTTTATCATTATATAATTTATTTTAAAACTTTATATCCATGACTTTTTTTAATGTTGTCCATGATACATTAATTACAAATAACATATTCACTTTGTTTGGTTTGAGTTTTCTAAAAACACTTTTCAAAAAATTCTACGTTTTTGTTTTTCGTATTTTTTTGTTTTTATTAAATTTTTTTTAATATTTTAACAAATTTTTTAATTTTTAGACACACCCAATATAAATAGGGGCTTTTTTTTAAGGTCCCTAATATTATGATTTTATAGCATAAAGGACACCAAATATTTTCATAATGTCTAAGGTCCCCCAACCTTGATCCAGAGAAATTTTAGTCCAGAGAAAATTCGTTCAGAGAAATTCTGGCCCAGAGAAATTTTCTGGCCCATTTCTCTGGACCAAATTTCTCTGGAAAGTCTACAGCAATTCTGAATTTCTCAGAATTTCTCTGGCCCAATTCTTCCTACAATTTCTCAGCATTTCTCTAATGCATTGGCTGAGTCCAGAGAAATTCAAAATTTCTCTGGTCTAATTCTCTTCAAATTTCTCTGATTTGTAAATTTCTTTAGTTTTCTCCTAGAGAAATTTAAAATTTCTCTGGACTCCAAACCAGAGAAAAACAATGCACACACAAACACATTAAATAGAGAAAGAGAGAGAGGGTCAATCCAATCCTCAACCAATAGAGGATCAATCCAATCCTCAAACATCACATTAATGTTGCTTCTGTTAGATCCCCGAACGTAAATCAACCCAAATTTCAGGGTAAATCTGGATTTGTATTCTTATTTCTTGTGAAAACTAGAGAATTTCTCTGACATTCCCAGAATTTCTCTGGAGAGAAATTCTCTAGGAAGTCCAGAGAAATTCTGTAGATGGAATTTTCTTTGGAGAGAAATCCTTATCATGAGCAACTTCATCTTTTTCCTCTTGCTTAAAACAAAGCAAGTTCCAATTGAAGAGATACATTTTTTATTTCAAAACCATTGGTTCTGAAAGACATATGTTGGAACTGATACTGATGAGAATCCCAGGCATGTGTGAATTCCCAAAAATGTTGTAGAAAATCGATGATTCATCAACAATTGTGTTACGAAATAACTTGTAGTTCGGTTAATATTCAGAAAAATACAGTGTTTTGTTTGAGCAAAATTTAAGCTTTGGAAAAATGTGAATTCTCCTCAAGTGATTTTCCAAATAACTTGGGGAATTGTGAAAATTGTAGAAATTGTTTGCAATATGGGATGTTCTTGCTGATTACGGACCTGATTGTCATCATGAACAACTTTATCTTCATCCTTCTACATGTTTTCTTCACCACTCCCCCAAACCATTTCTCTCTCTCTCTCTCTCTCTCTCTCTATATATATATATATATATATTTACAACCTCATATGTCAATGATATTTTTAAAATTATAAGAACAATAATTATTATTTTGATTGAAAATAAAGAGACTATGATATTATTATCTATGAAAATTTCAATATAATAGTGATCTCTATCATTATTGATATGTAAACATAATTAATTTCAATGAAAATATAGAATTTATTAAATTGGTAAGTTACATTTAATATGCAAGGTTCACCCACCATGTGTTTCTTTATTATTGGTTGGTAATATCACATGCCAATGATTGCCTAGTATGACTATTATATTAAATTTTTATGCATATATTGTAAAAAAAATTTACTTTATCATTATATAATTTATTTTAAAACTTTATATCCATGACTTTTTTTAATGTTGTCCATGATACATTAATTACAAATAACATATTCACTTTGTTTGGTTTGAGTTTTCTAAAAACACTTTTCAAAAAATTCTACGTTTTTGTTTTTCGTATTTTTTTGTTTTTATTAAATTTTTTTTAATATTTTAACAATTTTTTTAATTTTTAGACACACCCAATATAAATATGCTTAAAAAGTATAATTTTTGCGAAAAAATCTTTAAAAAATTCACTAAATACTAAAAATATAAAAAAATACAAAAAATTAATACATTTTTTGTATTTTTATGTATTTATTAATTTTTTAAAATATTTTTTCACAAATATTTTTTTTTTAGATACATCATGTATCTAAAAAAGTAAAAAAAAAATACTTAAAATTTTAAAAATATTCACTAAAAAAAACAAAATAAAATATAAGAAAAAAAACTTAATTTTCAAAAAACTTAATTCAAAAAACTCAAATAAACACACTGATTTTTTTTTAAAAATTTTTTCTTGAAGTCAATTGTAAATATTTATGTGAAATATTTATGTGAAATATTTTTAATGTTGTAATTAAAAAATGCCCTATCTGATTTATTTTCTTGGCTCCGCCACTGATATCATGTAATGGCTAATAATTTATATGTATATTTAATATTTTTATTTATCTATATATATATATAATTCGGGTTTCGGGTTGCTCGGATTGTTTGACATTTTTGCCCAAGTCTGCCCAAATTTAAATCGAACTTTTGAATTTTTGTCCAAACTCGTACCGAATTTGAAAATATCTTATCCAAGTTCCAAAAAAATTCAAGCTGAGTTCAGATTGCTCGGGTTGAGCCTGCCCAAGTTACACTCCTAGATTTTATCATATTTATTTTAAAAATATAGATATGATTCAAAAATTATTAGACTTAATTTTTAAGCCAGAGCAAAATGGAAAATAAACCTTAAATTTACAAGACCTAAGTTTTTAATTTTTTTTAATGACTCAAAAATAATTAGACCTTCAGGTCAAATGTCTATTTCTGAAACTCTTGGCCTAAGTTTAAATTTTTTTTATGCCAAAAAGATATTATTTGTTTGTATACGTTGAGAGTTTGCCTATTTGTCTATTTGTTCAAATATCATTTATCTGTTTAAATGGCCCACTATTTGTACACTTATTTGTACAATTATGTACTCAAATATCTAACTATGTGTTCAAATGTTTCATTATCGGTACACATGTTACCTAAATTCACTTATTTGTTTATGAAAAATGCTTCATACCACTAATGCACCACTAATGATGTGGCATCATGTGGACCCTACCACTGATGTGATAGTTTCGTCTTTGTTTTGTTTTATTTTTTTTTCTTTACATTGCCACCTCATTAGTGGTGTTTTTAGAGTTTCAAATTTAGTGTTCTAAATCACCGCTCTTTTTTTGACCAAATTTTCAATGAATTTTCCGACACTAACAGTTCTTCAACTTCTGTTCTTATATAAAAAAAGATTAACCTTAAATTAATGACATATACACTTCGTTTGTTTGAACAAAAAATATTTTTTAAAAAATAATTTTTTGTATTTTTTAGTGTTTGATATAATGAAAAACGAAAGTCAATAATGGTCAATGAAAAACAAACCTATTAGGGCAAACAATAATTCTTACTTTTAAAAGGTGAAAAATATATTCTGAACTAAAATTTACTAATATTACCACACCACCATCACTATGGCCACCGCCATCACAAGTGTCATCGCTCCACTACTATACCACCATCATTACTAAACATAAAAAAATATTTTATTCAGAAATCATTTTTAAAAAAAAAATCGTATAAAATATTTTCTATTAAAAAATATTTTTCGTTTATAATCTCGTAAAAATGATTTTTTTGATCAATTAATCCAAAATTATTTGATAGTGTTGGAACAACATTGATGGTGTGAAAAGCAGTGAATAATTTCCCCCGCAGCGGCGGTGGCGTGGGACACAGAGAGAGGGAAGTTGGCTTTTGGGTCACGTGATTGGGTTTGGGGAGGGGAGGGGAGGCCATTCAGCCCACCCAAAGGTGCGTTGAATTTACGAGTGACAGCCATATCAGAATATCCTGATTTACTTACATGTCGTCGTTGATCATGACCGTCCGTTCATTGATGCTCAATCCCTACCATCCATTCCCCGTCTAAACCGACTCAATATTATTACGCGTGACTTTAAGACCACACCATAGGAACCACTACGATATTTTTATTTATTTTTTTGTAATAATCGCAGTCAAATTTATGGACACTTTGATTAATTTCACGATTTATGTAACTTTTTCCTTCACGTCAATTGAGTAAATTTTGAGACGGAGCGATCGATATGAGACCAAATAATTAAAGATTTTATTAACGAGTGTCCTGCACTTTTAATCAACTTTACTATTATAGAAAATTAAATAATTTATAAATATTATATTGATAGAGACTAAATTACTCTTTTTTTTAATTACTTATATATTTATATACTTTTCATGATAGATTTTTTTAATTATAAAATTGAATTTTATTTTTTAAACATTTTTTAAAATTTAAAAATAAAATTCCTTCATTGATTAATATTTTTTTAATTTATTAAAAATTTTAAATTTATTTTTCTTACACTATATAATTTAAATATGATTGAAATTTAAAAATAAAAAAAAATCACGAAATGTTATTTATAAAAACAAAATTTAATTTTATAATTAAAAAATGTTTAAAAATTTTCATTATAAAATGTATATAAAAATAGAGACAAATAAAGAAAGAGTAATGTTACGTATCATGAAAAAAATATCCTAAAAATAATCATGAAAGATTTTCTAATGTTAGATTACACATGCAAGAAAACACCACACATTAATGAAGATATAAAAAATCTTCATAAAATATTTTATAATATTTTTTTTATGATTTTTAATATTATTCATAAAGAAAAAAATAATTTAATTTTTAACAATATAATAATAGAGTTGGTTGGGAGAAGTTAATGCATTCAATAGAGTGTTCTTAGAGTCCTTGTTAACAAAATTCAATAATTAATAACACCTAAAGCAAAAATTAAACGTGAAAACTGAAGCCAACACGCTTCACCCAACCCTTGGGTTCTATAAATACCTCTCTTACAACACCTCTCTCTCATCTCATCTCATCTCATATTGTTTTGTTTCCAGGGCTTTCTTCCAAGAACAAGAAGGGTCTCTCTCTCTCTCTCTGTCAAAGGTAAGAACATGATCAAAGGCCTTTGTTTGGGTTTTATTATTATTATTCTTGATTTATTATTCCCATCAGTAGGTTTGATACATCTTGATTATTGATTAATGATGAAAATTGATCTTACTAAGTATTTATCAAAAAAAAAATTTAAAAAAATAATGATATTACCAAGTGAATTGGGCTATTTTGATGTATTGGGTTTGATCCATTTTGGGTGTTTCTTTGATGATCTTGTGTTATTTTGAAGTATGCTATATGTTTGTAGATGTTTTGTTCTTGGTTATTGATAAAATTTGGTTCTGAATTCTCCAATTGTTTTTAAAGAAACAACTACATAAGTTTGAGGCAAATTTGGGAGCCATAAAATAAATTGATCCAATAATCTTAAAACTCCTGATTTATCAGAAAAAAAATTCCGGATTTATTTATGAAATTGTTGTCATCAATCTAATTTTTTCAAAAATGTGTCTCCCCTTTTCTGCATACTAGATGTAGAAATAGCATTCATATGATCATTTTCTTTGAGAGAAACAAGATTGTGAAGTGTATAATTGAATTCAAATTATGAAAATTAAAACTTTTTATGAATCTGAAAAGACTAACAATTGAGAAATTTGAAAAAGAAGAAAAAAAAAAAATCCTGAATTTAGGGCATAACCGTAAGGGTATTTTGGAAAAACTCAAAAATTGAGACATTAACATCAACTCTTGCCTTTACTTCATATGTTAGTATAGATTATGACAGCTTTTGATGGTGAATACTTACTTAGCTTTGTGGAGAAAGAAAATTTTAGATTGTGCTTAGAGTTGTGTAAAATATCGTCAAATATACCAAATTTGTAGTCCTCCTTCAAAACCGCTCCGCTCTGTTAGAGTTAATACACATATATATATATATATTTTTTTTTAACCTCTAATGAAATATCAAAGTAAAACTGAATGTGAGAGAGATTTAAGGTATAAAATTTGTTACAAATTAGTAGTTATATATATGAAATATATTCCGTAAAATTAATTTGTGTTATATGTATGAACAGTATTATGCAAATTAGTTTTATATATTATGCAAATGTTTGATAATTGGTTAGAATATTTTTCAATCCGCCAATCCATCTAAAACTATCCAAATCGCGATTTGTCAATCCCTCAATTCATCAATCTGTCATTCGGTTTGTAATTTTACTCTCAAACTGCCCGAACTGCACAGCGCATTCCCCTAACTGTGCTTGTATTTGGTTCTTGAATTTGTGATGGGAAAGGAAAAGGGAGGATTTGTGAATGGAATATAAATTTTTTTCACTGATCACTTCTTTTTCTTTTTTCTTCCCCCAACCCCTTCCTTTATCCAAAATTTAAGTGCAGGAGGAATTTTATTTTATTTTATTTATTTATTTCCCTGGGTTTTACAGCAAACCAGTCAATGTGTTGAAGAATATAAACTGTCTTAAGATTTGTAATATTTTAGACTATTAATTGCTTTCTATTTTTTGAAACACGACTGCTTAAATTTGGTAACAAAAGGGTTTAAGGTAATTTTAAAAATAATCTAGTGTTTCTTGTGCTGGTATGAATCGGTGACATTGTTTATTAACCAATCGAATTTTCGTATGTTCAGCAATCGCAACAAGGGTAACAGTTACTTATCAGACAACATACATGGTTGAACCCGACGGCCAGATCCCACCTCCTTTCCCACCTCCTTTTGGTGAGTTTGCCTGTTAATCATTGTGGAATTTGACTTCTTTTTTTGTTTTTTGTTTTTTGTTTTGTTTTTTTTTGTGATAAATAGCCAAACTTTAAAAAAGCGTCAAGATAATGCAAAGAATACAAAATGGAACGTCCCACTTGGGGACAAACAAGAAAACAAACTAAGAACAGAACAATGCAATCAAATCCTCCACAAAATCAACAAAATCAACTAAGAATGTCATGTTGCTTTGGTGGCTGACCTTAAAATAAACTTTTGTGTGCAGATCCATTTTCTGACGCCAACGACGACTCTGCTGCCCCTGGAGCAAAAGGGTATGTTCATATTCGCATCCAACAGAGGAATGGTAGAAAAAGTCTGACGACAGTGCAAGGGCTGAAGAAAGAATTCAGCTACGAAAAGATCCTCAAGGATCTTAAGAAGGAGTTCTGCTGTAATGGGAATGTTGTGCAGGACAAAGAGCTTGGCAAGGTAATGTAAATACCAAATGTCATATGCTACTTGTGGTTGCTTCAAGTGGACGTTGATCGTGTTTAACAAAATCCTTTGTTCTTGTGCAGGTTATTCAACTCCAGGGTGACCAGCGTAAGAACGTCTCCAATTTCCTCGTCCAGGTAATTTGTTTGTAAATGGTTAATCACCAATTGTCTCACAAACTGTGTTATGAAAACATCTATTTTTCTCAAAAATCCATGTCAACCAAAAATATGGTAAGGGTAAGAGTGGGGAATATGTATTTGACTTTAATACTTAATTTAGATAGTTTAATACTCTAATTTTTTTTCGATGCTTGAAGGGGAAAAAAAAAATCACATTTGGTAGTGAAGAAACATTTCTAATCTCTCATATAGATAAAAGATATTAGACAAGATACAAATATGTAGCCATATGTAATTTTGGATACATACCCTAATACCTTAAAAGTTTGACACTAGGACATGCATGCACATTCGTTATTTGTATCTGATCAAGTTCTCAGACACATTTCTTCGTGTGTAACCCCATCTTTCATGCGGGAATGAAAACATATAGGGTAACAAAATAGAAACGGAAAACTGATGCTAATGGAGATTTGAACCCAAGACCTTTCCTAATTATAGTTTTAATCCTGGGAAAAAATGAAGATTTCTTGTAGTTGTAGTTACTGTCTAGTTTTCTTGTGTGGCTTGTGTGCTGAGTTGTCTTGGTTAATGTTTGCAGGCTGGCATTGTGAAGAAGGAACAGATAAAGTTGCATGGTTTCTAAAGCAATTGGGCCTGGTGTTGATGCGTTTTGTGTGGTTGTGTTGATCTATAAACGCCTATTATAATTTGCTGTTTTGTGTCCATAGATATAGGTTGTGTTTGGCTTGTTTTTGCCTTTTTTCTTGAAACTTCTAATATGACATGGAGATTTCAGTACAATGGTGTTGGCTCCTAAATTTCTCCAGTGATAATAAAATGGGAAAATTATTATTTGTTCCTACTGGTACTTTAATTTGATTGTTATTGATTGAATTAGTGAAACCTTCCACCTTTCTGTCTCATTTTAGGAGACAATGGGTCATTTGTCCCTCAATAAATGCTCCAAGACCAACCATTAACTTCTCAATAAAATGTGTTTTTTGCAGTGACAAGTCTCTCTCCCTCTCTCTCTCCCCCTCTCCTAGCAAGTATTGCAAAGGGTAATAGATAGTCTGTTGGTTGATGAAGTTTGACAAAGCTGAAACAAATATAGATTCCTTTCAAGTTGCTGTCTATTTGAAGGGGAAAAAACCGAGTGGGAAGTGTATTTGTGTTTTAATAATGCAAAGTTATGATGTCTACATTTCAGTGAATTAGATGGGTTTTTCAATAAATAGTATGTCCCGTTTGGTCTCCAAATAGCGAATTCGTGGATATTTGAGAATATCGAGCAGAATATTTGATGAGAATATCGAGCAGAGTATTTGATGAAAAGAATGGGAATTTCATTTCTTTCTTATCTTTTTTCAAATGATAAATATAAATATTTTTACTTTTTCCTCTTTTCGAATGATAAATATAGAATATAGAGTGTGAATCAAATTTATCTTTGAATTGAAATAAAGATATTAATGCTGAGTGCTTTCTTTTTGGATTTCATATGTTCTTGGCATTACGGTAAAACATCTGCAGTTGGTTTAAAATGAGGGATTTATATTTGTCAAAAAAAAATTGTAACCCAGTGAATGTTTGGTTTTTTTTCGGATTTTTTTCGGATGATAAATGATCTACATATGTGATCATGTATATTGAATGTTTTTAACCAACTAGGCCTAACCTAGTTGGTCATCTCCTAAGGAGGTCATGAGTTGAATTCTCCTTAATAGTGTGTTTGGTTGGGGGATTTGGGGAGGAATTTAGAAAGGGAAAGGAAAAAGGTGTGTGAAACTATGTGAAATATAGGCATAATTTATTCACATTTCACTTACCTTTTCCATTTCTCTTTCCAAATCCCCCAACCAAACACAACATAAAAGAATTGAATTAAGGGAGTGTAAGTACTTAGGTGCTTTGTCAAGGGTGAAGAGATTTTCTCCTATAGGTGTTAATCTAAAACTAACAATTAACATTTGCCGATCAAAAAAAAAAAATGTATATTGAATGTTTTGGTGTTCTATTTTTGTTATTCTTAATTAAATACTATTGAGGGAAATAAATCATATTCTCTCCCTGGTTTTTCATTTGACAGGGAAGATTCATCTAAGGAGGTCATGAGTTTAATTCCCATTAAGAGAGTTGAATTAAGGGAGTACAAGTACTTAGGTGCTTTGTCAAGGGTGGGGAGATTTTCTCCCATAGGTGTTAATCTAATGACTAACAATTAACATTTGCCGATCAAAAAAAAATGTATATTGAATATTTTGGTGTTCTATTTTTGTTATTCTTAATTAAATACTATTGAGGGAAATAAATCATATTCTCTTCTTGATTTTTTATTTGACAGCGAAGATTCATCTAAGAAAGGACGACGAAATAAGTTATTATTCCCAAATTTGAACATCAAGAGTTTGGTGTTATTTTTATTTATTTATTTATTTGGATTTAGAATTGATTGATTCTGCTACAAGCATGCCCCACGTCTTTTGTGCTTAACACATTCATAGCACTACAAAGGAGGGTCCAAGTCTGACAAGTCATATAGGGCATGTTTGATTGGAAGGATTAGAGTATGGGATTGGGATTATTAATCCATGGGCCCAATTATCCCGCGTTTGTTTTGACAATTTGTTTTAGGATTATTAATCCAATGGATAATTAATCCAACAAATTTGTAGGATTATTAATAATGGGGTAGGGGTGGGATTGTGAATACCACACTAATTTGATGGGATTATTTATACCTCACTATTAGTCTTGTGGAATCAAACAAAGCCATAGAGTCTAAAACAATAAAATAGATAATTTAATTAAAAAAAAAACCATTTCTGTCATAATCACACAGTTTGGTCACTATCAATCTAAATAGTTAACACCATTACCAACATTTGGAAATTTAGAATGTGAACCCCTAAAAACATCGTTACTATTATATATGTTGTGCATCTTTTAAATGAAGGTTATGTTATTATCAACCAATTTATAGAGGCTACATAGAGTTCATGTTTTAATGTTTGAGACAACTTAGCTTATAAGGTGAAAACAATTTAAATAAAATTGATTAGCTAAAAATTAAGAAAAAAGTGTTTAAATTTTTACTTGTAATTATTAATTTTCAACTTGATAAAAATTACACCAAACAAACCTATTATGATTATGTTAGGCAGATGCAGTGTATAATATATAATATCTATTTTTAAGAATATACACAGTAACGACTCTCCAACATGTTTTTAAGAAGTGATTATTTGATAATTTTAAAAGAATAATGTTAGAAATCCTAAAAATTCTATTGTGTGAGACTCACATTGTTTGACCCCCATACCCATGCGAGACATTTGATAAAACTTTGAGGGTTTCTAATATTTTTTATTTTAAAATATTAATGCATATCCCTTATCACTTGACACTTGTCAAATTATTCTTCAAAATTCTAACAAAAGATATTAAATCTTACAATTTTAATCAATAACCAATACCATGTGAATTTTGACCGCATAACTTTTCCTTTTTAAGTGGAATTCAAACGTGTTCATGTTCCCTTATTCCTAGCTCGACCAACAAGCATGTTCTCATCACTGATTCAAGCCCAAACATAATGGTATCAGACTCACATCCCATTCCATAGTATTTTATGAACCTTTAACATTGCAAACACAAAACAAATCTCCAATTCTTTATCTTCACCAAACAGTTTTGACCCAAAAAAAAAAACAAAGAATAAATACATTTTTTAACATAAAAAAATAACTGTCCACGTAGAATTGTCGAAATGTAACTAAGCCACAAAGGTAAAACCAAAAACAAGAGAGCAAACAAGCACCCGTGCACTACGTGTCCAAGTAAAAACCTTCAAACTCGAGTTTTGTTAATAAAAAAATGTGTGAAGAAGCCGCCATTGCTTGATCATGGCCCCTCGAGTAGTTGGAAAAGGTAAGCGCTATTAGTTCTAGAAGAGCTTGCCGCCAGGCTGTTGCTGGGTTCCGCTCCTCATCATCGCGCAGAACTCTTCATAATTGATTCTCCCATCCTGTTGACAAAAATTTGAAAACAAATTGAGCACTTATGCATTGCTATGCTGCTTTATGATTTCATTATATAAACTATGACTCACATTGTCAGTGTCAACTTCTGATATTATTTCCTTGATGGTATCTTCGTCGCCCATTCCATAATTTTTCATGGCTGATTCTAGTTCATCCATTGTAATAAACCTGTAGTCACATCCAAAAGAAGAAAAACATTTAATTAAGGATTTTGATTCGAAGGTCGAATAAAGGGGAAAAAATGGAATAACAAAAGGAAGAAGAAAAGTTCATTCTCATTCTCTGTGAAACAAATGGGAATTCCATGGAAGTTACCATGGACCACCAAGAAGAAAAGTTTATTCTCTGAGAAAAATAATTATTATTATTTTGGACCACCAAGTTCAGTGTACTTCATCGGCGTTGTTTTTTGACTGGAATACCAAGAACTAACTATGGGGACTAGTTAGGAATTAATATATCTAACCAAGATCGGTGAAATGCGAAACACAAACATGAATCAAACAAGAATCTAAATTAAGTACACAAGAACATTAAGGGTGTCTTTGGTTTGTGTTTATAGAGCATTTTTTCAGATAAAAAGTACGAAAACTTGTTTGGCATGTCTTTTTTCAAAAATGGTTTTGGAAAATTGTTTTTGAGAGAGAGTTTTAAAAAAAGTGATTGATTTGATGTGTATGAGAGAGTGATTTTGAAAAGTAGGTAACCAAACAAAATTTTGAGATTTTTTTTTAAAAAATTTGTTTAGTTTGATTACTCTTGAAAATTTGTTTGTAGAGAATTTTTCCCAAAATTTTTTCTAAAAAACAAACCAAACAAGGCCTAAGTTTTTGGTGGACCACTTCACCATTCTGTATAAATAAGCTAACCTATTTGTATAGCAATTTGGTAGAAGGGCAGATTCAATCTTGTTTTTTTATTAGGTGTGCCTCAAACATCCCATCATCTGAAGCTTGATATGAATCTGATAAGTCATAATTCAGAGGCATGCACCTTTATACTAACATCATTGCAATAACATTCACGTCCGTTTATGTTAACAATGTGACCATTAAGCTGTACGATAGATTCTCATGCAATGGAAGACAAGATTTATAATCAAAAGGATTGTGTTTTCCGACAATGGAATTCACAACCTAAGATAGAAAGTGTCAAATGCAAGAACTATATATTGACATACATTGAGTAAATTCACTCACCCGCTATTATCCGTATCAAAATACTGAAATGCTTTGTAAAGGTGTTCATCTCTTTCTAGTTTGTGTCTGTGCATTGTAGCAGTGATGAATTCAATGTAGTCAATTGTCCCATCTCCATCCACGTCGGCCTGAATTAGAGAACACATATGTTATTTCTAAGATGACAATATAGAATTTGAGGTTCAACATTGATGGAGCGTGGATTAAGAAACAAAGCAATTCAATATTCAATTGTATCTTACAGCTTCCATGAGCTGCTTAACTTCAGCCTCTGTGAGCTTCGACCCAAGTCGAGCCAATCCCGTCTTAAGCTCTTCATAGGTAATTGTGCCGCTGTTGTCGGTGTCAATGTTTGTAAACATTTGTTTCAGCCCTTGTATTTCGTCCTGGGATAGATTTTCTGCAATGACCTGGATAGTTTTCACAATCCATCAATTTTATCAGAAGGAGATTTAGATCCATGAGCCAAATTTGGGAAAGAAATGTTGAGAACCATGTAAGAGGAAGATGGATCATAAGACACGAGCTGTATGTCTTTCAAATTATATTTCGAGATCCAAGTATGATTTTTTCTCCATTAATTTTGAAGCAGATTATTTACTTCAACAATACCAAATCAAAGTTTTCTCATGCCCATATACCGGTATACATCTACTGAGCTAAAATATACTGAAATTTCACAAGTAGAGGGCCTTCAAGTGTACCTTCAGTGCAAGTTTCTTGAGTTTGTTCATTGCTCTGAATTGCTTCATCCTGGATAGGACTGCACTGTCGATTGGTTTATCTGATGCTTCTCCACCTTCTCTAATCCATGGATGCTCTAGATAAGCCGGGTACATAATGAAACTTCAGTCAATTTTTGTTTGGGATAGGGGGTGGGGGCTAAATTTCAAAAAAACATGTTTATGATAAACCAATCAAGGAACAAAAGGAAATAAAACAGCTCAAAAACAGAAAAGGGAAAAATGAAACAGAATTATACAGAGATTGTTGGGGAGTTTTTTTTTTTTATTTCTCAAAACTAGGTCAGAGCTACATTTTTTATAGAATTTACAGAAAAGAAACAATGGCAAAAGAATTGAGCATGCAAAGGCACATGATTTCCACTGAAGAAGATAATCGGTCATCAAATTCACTTCTAGGGCTTCACTGATAACTTTTGGGGGGTTTTTTCTTCCCTCTATTTTCATAAACTTTTCATCAATTAAACCAACAATTTGGATTTCCTTCTCATCAACTAGTTTTTCACATGCTTAGAAGTATTTTTTCGACTGTATTCTTATTATCGGGGTTAGTTTGTTTAAAAGTGTATGTTACTATTGATTATCCAATTACATCTTTTTCTTAGCTATATTGAACAACATAATATTTCTTTGTTTTCCTTAATTTCTGATGAAAAGCATGAGAAATAGAAAGTTAATATTAGGGTTTGTTTGAATGACCAGAATGATTATTAAAACTATGCAGTTCGAGATGTACCAAGAACTTGAGTAGAAGTAATTCGTTTCTTTGGGTCTTGTGTCAGCATCCTCCGAACCAGGTCCTTGGCACTTCTTGATATAGACGGCCAAGGTTGACTATCAAAGTCAATTTCTCCTTTCAATATGGCATCAAATATTCCCTTCTCCGTTTCTGCAAGAACATTCTACAGTCATGATTCCAACACTTTCAACTAAAAGCAATTGAAATGGCAATTTGTAGGTCATGCAATATAGCTATGTTTTCAAGCAGGACAATAATGGATTCATGACTTTACCGGCCCAGAAGGGAGGTACACCACTAAGTAAAATGTACAATATAACTCCTGCGCTCCAAATATCTATCTCTTTTCCATATCTACGCCGTAAGACTTCAGGAGCAACATAATAAGCACTCCCAACTATGTCTCGATACACCTTGCCTGAAAAAATTGATCAAATAAAACAAAATCACATTTGCTCTATATCAGAAAGAGGTTAGTAATAATAGTATAAAACATATGAATTCACCTTTTGATGGAACATAAAATCATTAATTGATGTTCGTATGAAGATAAGCTAATTCAAATGTTTTAAGCTTAAAGGCAGATGCCAAAACAATAACATTCATATATTTATATATATATATTTCAGATTTACGTATTACTTTTAGCAATGGAATTTGAAAACAAATGCTAATATTGACATAGATACTTAGACCGAACGCTTATTTTGATAGGATTTTCCATTTGGAGAGTCCTTCAAATTCAATACATGGCCAGTACAAAAAAGTTCAAGGAAGTAAGACACAAAGTCACAAAGACATTGATGAAGTATGTTATTGATCTTCCCTCTAGACAGAGATTCATATAATGACATTGCTCTCTTTCCTCGTGTGCAACAAGTTTATCCTTCTTTTTAAACCTCTTTAGTTTGTACAAAAACCATAGATTCAATCTACTACTGCCACGAGATGATTTCAGATGGTAATCCAATGGAACAATGTAAATATGAAATATATATCTTAAAACCAAGAACAGCTTTTCAGCCAAAGGTTAGATTTAGATTTCAAAAACTTTTAGGTTGTGTTTGGATGTTGAATTTGAGGAAGTACTTGTATAGGCAAAATAGAAGGGAATGGAAAAATAAATGAAATAGAAGCTAATTTTTTCCCCCTTCCATTTTCAAATTCCTCCTCAAATCTAAGATACAAACACAATGCTATGAAACATATATCCAAAGAAAATTTCAGTCAATGGCACAACAATTTATTATCTATCACAACATCCTATGAATCCAAACAAAAAATATAAAGCAAATGAATTCAACATTTCATTCATGGCATCAAAAGCAATAATGTAAACATGAGAAATTTCACCTTCTTCAATGAACACTGATAACCCAAAATCTGTTGCCTTCAACAGAGCTTTCTCACTCTTGTCAGACAACAAGAAATTCTCGGGCTTCAAGTCTCTATGCATCACCCCCATAAAATGACATATATGCACCACATTCACAATAGCCCTACAAATCGAAGATGCGGCTTTTTCAGAATAATGCCCCTTGGCAATAATCCGATCAAAGAGCTCGCCTCCGGCACATAGTTCCATCACAAGATGGACTGAATGTTTGTCCTCATAAGCACCCTTGAATTCAACAATGTTTGCTTGCCCACTCAAATGCTGCATAATCTGAATCTCTCTCTTCATATCCTCCTTATCACTCCTAGTAACTAGTTTTCTTTTAGATATAGACTTACAAGCATATTGCTGACCGGTTGAAATTTGGGTACAAAGATGGGTAACTCCAAATTGACCTCTACCCAATTCTTTCCTAAGGTATTAGAAACGATTTAACATCCTCTATTGCTTACCCAGAATTGTATCTGGCCTTAAAACTGGTCTAGGGCTTGGGGATGCCTGTGGTGGCGCTGCCGCCACCGGAGCAGGGGATTTGGTGTAATGAATTGGTGGCTCTTGGGGTTTTTGGTAGTGCACTCCACCACCACCACCACCTGATCTATGGCCATTAACATTTGAATCCAAATTTTTTGATTTGCTTAGACAAAGGCCCATCTCTTGCTGCTGTCAAATCTTCAAACTCTGGACAGAAAACAACCCAAGTCAGGGCTGGGGTCACAGTTGACCGAAGGGAATAAGAGGAATAATAAATACACAAATAAAGAAAGAAACAAAAAACAAAAAAACCCAGATGGGAATTCAGAAAAAGAACCGTTTTTCAGGTTTGGATCAGAAAATTGAGTGATAGAGCTGGAGTTGGAATTTTCTTGGTGAAGAAAGTGGGTGAGCTCTGAAATCAGAGAAAATATGCAGGGTATGCGATTCAGGACTCAAATTGGGACTGTTATGATGATCTTTCTTTCTAACGGGGGGGCTACGAAGAAAGTGGGTTAAGAAACACGGATATAAAAAGAAAAAGGGTTGATTGTTTCTTGGGAAAAGTCTGAATAGTGAAAGGGTAATAAGAGGTGGCCAAATACACGAGGAGTTTGAATTGAACTCGATGAATTCTTTAAGACTCGACAAAGAAACGAGAGAGAGAGATGCCAAGAAAACGCGTTTTATCAATATTTATTATTTGGGTAAATTACATATATCTCTCAAGAGATTTAACTAAATTATAGACATGTCTGAAATTTTAAAAACAATAATCATTTATCTTTTCTTTTCCTCCCATTCTTTTTGACCCCTTCTCTCTTTCATTGGTTACATTTTCTTTTTCTTTTTCTTTTTTTTCCTACTCCTCCAATCACCACCCGCCACATGGCAAAGGGGGTGAGGGGGTGACCCCCAAAAAAGAATCCCAAGCATTATTCTTTTAAAAATTACAAATACCTTTGAACTTTATATTTTTATAATAAATTATTTTTTAAAGTTTATATTTTCATAATAATTTATCTCTTAATTTGTTATGTAAATAATACTTTTAAGAGAGTATCTATAATTTCTCAAATTTTAGAAAGACATTTGTAATTTTATTAAATCTCAAAGAGGATATATATAATTTGCCCTTATTATTTAAGTTCATTCATTAATTGGTTTACACATGCAATGTGTGTCTCCTTTGAAAAGATAAAAGGTTGTCTAACGTCATGTATCTAAGGTTAGGGTTCTTATCCCAAATAAATAAATAAATAATTGGGTTAATTAAAATTTTAAGATTTAATTTTTCTCAAATTATCATCTTAGATCTGCCGTTTTGGGAACTTTGGAAAAAAGTCACGTTTTTTATTATTTTTCAAAAACGTAAGTGGCTAAAAACGCAACAAAATTGGTTTGGAAAGTTCTAAAAATGCAAGTGTAAAATTATAAATTGGGGCCTATAATAAAAAAATAAATTTTTTATGTTAGGTAAGGGTATTTTGGTCATTTTAATTTGATTTGACATCATAAATAAATATTAAACTAAAAAGCCAAAAATCAGCTTTTTACCAACTTCTCAAATTACTTTTCAAAAAGCTAAAAAGTTGGTAAAAAATCAAAAGTTAGTTTTTTACCAACTTTTCAAAACACCCGTTTGGATTTAATATGTCAACTATGAGATCGATTTTAGTGATTTTAACCATTCATTTTTTAAAACTCGTTAAGTAGAAAATAAAAAATTAAAATGGTCGAATATCAGTAGTTATATGTTTGGGTAATATTTTTTTTTTTAAATGAACCTACCAAATCCAAGCACTCTATTAAATTGAGATGCCAAATTCAAATAAGTCAAATATAAAATTTTAATCCTTAAAATGTTAGATTCGTGTTAAAGTTTAAGGTTAATTTCATTTTACTTTCTAAAAATTTATATCATTTTGGTCTCTAAAATTTAAGGCAGTGGCTTGTCTCCACTCCACCATCTAGATTGGAGGGTCTAGTTCAGCCTATTGGGTGAACTTTTGGGCTCCTTTTCAATAATCTAAATCGTTCACATTTTAGGATTTATTGAATACATTATCGCTATAAAAAATTACGTTGATCAGATAACGAATACTATGTATTCGGATCACTTTTTTATAAACTGTTAATTTTCTGATGGTCCATTTTCTTTCACACAAAAGTGATCCGAATACATAGTATCCGTTATCCAATCAACGTAATTTTTTGCAGAGATAATATACTTAAGAAATTTTAAAATGTAAACGGTTTAGATTATCGAAAATGGCGCAAAAATAGGGCCAATTGGCCGAACTGGACCAAACTGTCCCAGATCTAAACTGTAGACAGTCCAGGCCCAATATTTAATTATAACTACCATTAAAGTTAGGAATAAATATATAATTTTTGACATAAAAACATCATATATTAATGTGTGATCGTGAGCCTCATAAAAATTGACCAAATGAAATTTTACCAGTTGTGATTTCTTTTGGCTTTTAAGAATGATCAATGCATTTATATCTCAAAATCAACTGGAGAAAAGTAATCTCCATTTTTGTTTTTTGAATTTTATAATAATCACATCTTATTGATAGGTAGCAACTAAAGTATATTACTTGAGACCAAATTCTTTTCTATAAAAGATCTTTGGGAAGTCTCATTTGTATTTGACATAAAAGTCCAATGATGTTGTGTTAATGATTTATTGAGCTTATCTCAGTTAGAGGTGGTCACTAGTGACACTGGCCAGAGATGGAGGTGGCTGATTATGGTTGTGGTCGTGTATGGTGGTTGTTGGCTAGAGAGCTAAAGGGCAAAAAAAAAAAAAAAAAATGCTCTTTTTTTCATAATCTGAAATAATGTAGTGTTGAAAATTCTGAGTCTTATGGTGAAAGAGTGAAATTATTTCTTGCAGTGCATAAGGAGAGAAGCTAATGGATGTGCAGATAAAATGGCGGCAAAAGGCTTGATAGGGGTTTCTCACGGGGCCATGTTTTGGCCTTTAGCCTCGAGTTTACCCAATAAATAAATTTTTTATTTACTAAAATTTAATAGCTTTTGTACTTAATTTATATATGTACTAGTGTATGGCCGTACATGAATGTACAGTGTAAATAAAAATAAGTGAATAAAAATGAGAAAATTAAAAAAAATAAATAAATAGAGAGAAAAATAAAAATGAGAGAAAATAAAAAAATAAAAAAATAAAGAAGGAGGAATGTGAGATCATAGGATCATGGAAAGATGAGTGAAAAAGGAAAAAAGTAAGAGAGAAACGGAAAAGAATAAAATGTACATGTAAAATATTTTTTTGAAAAATATATTTCAGCTATTATTTTATAATTTAAACATATCTAAGCTATCCAAATATTAAGACAAAAATATGTTAAAAATTTAAAAACCATCATGCTTTATCTTTTGTACTTAATTTATATATATATATATATATATATATATTTTAAAAATTAAGAAACAGAGACTAAACAAATTTTTGTTTTAAATTTTAGAAAAAGGGGTTGATGTTTTATGGGGAAATTATCATTGAGTGATAATTCCATAAATTTATTACAAAATCTCTATAATTTATCACTTATTTGTAATTATTATTTTTTAAAATTTCAACTGAAATTTCGCCATGTTTTATTGGATCGTGGGACGATTTTGCATTCGCTGGACCCGACTGGCATATTTGCGTGTGTGAAAGACGGTCGGGTATGATTAGATTGCCCACTGGGCTTTGATTGGGTCCGGCCTGGTAATTGCTAGCAACCTACTTGGGCTCCGAGGTGCAAGCCTAACCCAATTCGTAATCTATGACTCGGCCCAGCTAACTAATGACATGCCTAATTAGTCCCCCCCTCCAAAAAAAAAAAAAAAAAAAAGAGATTGACCAATAAGTCTCATATTTTGAACTTGTAATTCATATAGTCTCATATTTTTTCTTGTGATCCATTTAGTCCATTTGGATGTGTAATGATTTATTTGCCTGCCACATTAGAGTATCACACTTGGAAAAAGTACACTAAAGAATTTTTTAATGTCACATCATACTCGTCACGTTAAAATATGACATTAAAAAAGTACATTAAAATTTTTTTAATATTTTTAAAGTGTCATATCATACCCGTCACGTTATAATATCACATGTCACTTTTGAAAAAAATACACTAAGGAATTTTTAATTTTTTTTAGAATGTCACATCATATCCACCATATTGTCACGCTTGAGAAAAGTATACTAAATTTTTTTTATTTTTTTTAAAGTGTCACATCATACTTGCCATGTTGTCATATTTGGAAAAAGTATATTAAGAAGTTTTTATTTTTTTTGGAGTAAAAGTTTTGGAGTGTAACATCATACCCGCCACATTGTCATATTTAGGAAAAGTACACCAAGGAGTTTTATATACCCGTCATGTTGGAGTGTCACATGTCATGTTTGGAAAAAATACACTAAGGAGTTTTTATTTTTTATTTTTGAAGTGTTACATCATATCTGCTACGTTATCACATTTGGAAACGGTACACTAAGGAGTTTTTATTTTTTTTGGAGTAAAAGTTTTGGAGTGTCATATCATACTCGTCACGTTGTCACATTTCGAAAAAATACACTAAGGAGTTTCTAATTTTTTTTGAAGTGTCACATTAATACCTGTCACATTGGAGAATCACATCATACATATCACATTAATAAAATGGTATAGTTGTCTACCAAAATACTACCAAAATCAAAAATAGTACCACACAGAAAGAAACTCTCTACTAATAGGACTTAACAGATCAATAGAAAAAATTTGGAACTAATTGGAGTACTTGTTTGTGAAATGAGATTTATTGGTAAATATCCCCCCCAAAAAATCCTATTATAGTTAAAACTATATTTATTTATTTATTTTTATTTTTAAGGTAGGAAGACTCTTCTTTTTAGACTACAATTTCTGATGTGATGCACCAAAAAATTAAAAAAATAAACAAACTAAATCCAACTACTATTTTCACACTACAACTTACGACTCTGCTACGTAGCTCGAAAGGCGAGGCTCAAGAGTGGCTCGAATTAATGAATTTGCTGCTCTGTTACGCGGGATACATCCACAATTGTTTTGATTTCAAAAACAAAAAATAAAAAAATAAACGAACAGAGCGGAGCACCATATAGAGAGAAAGCTAAGCACCATGTCGTCATAACCTAGCGAAGTCGTCTGGTCGCTACTGTTGTTTGATCGGAGTGGGAGAGGAGAAAGTTTATGTGCCGCAGAGCAATCGAAGTCTTCACTGACTTCGAACCGGTCTGTTCGTAACCTAGCGGAACTGTCTCTTTGTGGCGTCGCTACTGTTGTTTGATCGGAGTGGGAGAGGACGAAGCTTGTGTGTAAATCGGACTATTCACTGAGTTGTGGATAAGGTATTTCCTCTTAGCGTTTTATTTCCCCTTGTGCCATTCCTCTTTCATTGCTCTGTGATTGTTGCTGCCATAGCTGGTAGCTAGACTAAACTGAACTGCCATGGCTGATCAGACTAATTAAGTAAACTAATTAAGTAAATTAGACTGTACCTCATGGCTGCCCTAGCTAAGTTTCAATGTGACTAATTAAGTAAATCAGACTCTCACTATTTATCTACAGAGGGAGCCAAACTGATGAGACTGAAATTTAACTATATATATAATATGTTTGAATGATTGTTTCAGGTAGAACTAAGAGGGCCTTTCTAGAGAGACTATACACTGGTGGTGTGTTGGACTTTTAGGTAACAAGCCTTCAATTTTGTCTATCTCTCTCTCTGATTTTCCAATCTTTATTGATTTCTTTCTTTCTATTTTGGTGCACCATGACATTCTCCTGCTTAATGCTTTTGTTCTTGGCTTATTCATCAATAATAAAATATGAATTCAAACCATGTGTTAATGTACACCTCCTACACCACTAAAACCTACCACTACCACTACACACCTCCACTACTCCTCACCCACTCCACCTACCACCTCCACTTGTACCTCATGGCTGCCCTAGCTAAGTTTCAATGTGACTAATTAAGTAAATCAGACTCTCACTATTTATCTACAGAGGGAGCCAAACTGATGAGACTGAAATTTAACTATATATATAATATGTTTGAATGATTGTTTCAGGTAGAACTAAGAGGGCCTTTCTGGAGAGACTATACACTGGTGGTGTGTTGGACTTTTAGGTAACAAGCCTTCAATTTTGTCTATCTCTCTCTCTGATTTTCCAATCTTTATTGATTTCTTTCTTTCTATTTTGGTGCACCATGACATTCTCCTGCTTAATGCTTTTGTTCTTGGTTTATTCATCAATAATAAAATATGAATTCAAACCATGGAATGTTAGGGGCTCCTTAGCATGATTTTTTGTTCTATTAACTTTCATTTATTGATCAATTGTAAAATGGGAAGCTTTATAAAGTGAGATTCAAATGGTTGAAAGAAAAAGTTAACCAAATTGGTGAAATTAAGGTACAGTTCCAAGAGACTGCTATCACTGCAATGTAAAAGGAGGGTTAGATATGTGGGATCAATGAGATGGGTACAATTGTATCTCATTTTTGGTTGAGTAGACCCAAACTAAACTGTACCTCATTTTTGCCAATTAAGTAATGTGTTAATAGTTGTTATTTCCTCACTATCAAGGAACATACATGTATCCTGAATCTTTGTTAATTTATAATGTGTTAATTGTTGTTATTTCCTCACTGTTAGCATGTCTATATATTAGTAATATTTTTTTTTTTGACATCAATTTTTTTTTTTCTTTTGACATCAAATTTTATCATATGTATTAGTAATCATATTTTTTTGACTTCAAAATCTGCACTTTGAGCTGATATTAGAGACAGATGCAAAACAATAGAGACAGATGCATCTTATGAGTGAAACATGTGTGATATTGTTCAAACCTGTGTGAATTTGTGTGAACCTGTTGAAACCTGTGTAAAACCTGTGTGAGTGAAACCTGTAATTTCTTGAAACCTGTGTGTATGCATCTCATCTCAAGACCAAAACAGACCCAAAAAATAGAAACCTGTTCAACATGGATCTATAAACATTGATATCCATTCTCATCAATAAACATTGATATCCATTCTCATCAATAAACATTGAAATCTGTATAAACATTCAAGCCATCATTAATAAACCTGATATCCATTCTCATTGATATAAACATGTTGAACCTGTGTGTATGCATCTCACTTCTCATCTCAAGACCAAAACAGACCCAAAAGATCGTAACCTGTTCAACATGGACTTATAAACATTGATATCCATTCTTATCAATAAACATTGAAACCTGTATAAACATTCAAGCCATCATCAATAAACCTGATATCCATTATCATTGATATAAACCTGTTGAACCTGTGTGCATGCATCCCACTTCTCATTCAAGCCATCATCAATAACTTTCTATTAGTCTATCAATGTTTCTCATTCAAGCCAACAGATTTCAGAATCTATAAACATTGATATCCAAATCACTATTTAATTTTATGTCATGGCTAACATATCCAATGCTTCCAAAATACAAAATACAAAATAAAGATGGTAGACAGTATTGATTACAAAATACAAAATACAAAAGAAGTACTGATTACATTCATAACATTGTCCAAAACCTAACAACTGATTCATTTAGATGATAAAGTAAAAAAATACACAAAATACAATGACATAAGTCATTGCCTTCAAAATCTTCTCCATCATCTGAAGCTTTCTATCATGCTCATGAACTGCATTGTCCATCTCACCAAGCCTTCTCCTTAGATCATTAATTTCTTCTGTTCTTGAATCTGTCCGAGGTCCAGTATTGGCACGGACTGTGGAGGTAACGTCGTCGTCGTCATCATCTGCGAACCTGAAGTAATTGCAGTGTTCGTTCGTGCTCTACAATGCACAAGAATCAGTTAATGATTAAATGAGAAATGAAATTTGTAAAAAGTAAAAGATTAATTTATATAACAGATACTTACATATTTTGTTGGACAAACAAAAAACACACGTCCTTCATTCCCATTCTCATTGGTTCGTACAATATGCATGGATGTTGTTCTTCCACAATTACACAATTTTGGCTTTAATTTTATGTTCCTATTATTAGTAGAAGATGAAGCCATTTTTTTATCTACAAAAAAAAGTACCAACAGATTCAACTATCTATTAGTAGAAGATAATGTTCTTCCTATTTTTTTTTATCTTCCAAGTTGTTCTACCTATTAGTAGAACATGATGATTCAACTACCTATTACTATAAGATGATGATTCAATCTTCATAACAGATTTGCTTAAAGAGTTTAATCTTGATAACACAGTTGAATTTGTTTAAAATAGAGACAGATGCGTTCAAGATTGAACTCTCTTATCAGGTTAATCTTGAATTAATTTTGATAACGGAGTTCAATCTTGATATGTTGAATTAACCAGGTTGATCTTCATAACAGAGTTCAATCTTGAATTAATTTTTCATAGAACTCTGTTCAGTTTGTTAAAGGTTAATCTTGAATTAATTTTGATAATAGAGTTTAATCTTGATATGTTGAATTAACCAGGTTAATCTTCATAACAGAGTTTAACCTAGAATTAATTTGGTTAACATGTTAATCTTGAATTAATTTTTCATAGAACTCTGTTCAATCTGTTAAATTAAGATAACAGAGTTCAATCTGTTTTCTCTACACTCAACATTGAATTATTCATTGAATTAATTTTGAAATGATTTAACATAGGAACATTTCATGAAGTTCAGGAACATTTCGTCAAGATTAAAAATTAATTCAAGATTAACCTGTTAACCAGGTTAATCTTCATAACAGAGTTCAACCTTGAATTAGGCACACCACCAGGTTAATCTTGATAACAGAGTTCATTCTTGATAACAGGTATATTTTGTATGACCAAACTCATCACATAGGTGTATTTCAAGCAAAACCCTAACCCTAACCCTAACACTAACCCTAACCCTAACACAAATTGCAAGCAAAATCCCAAACCCTAACACAAATAGCAAGCAAAATCCAATCCCAAACACTCCAAATTGACTAATTTCTACAAAATTGAAGCCAAACGTAAACCCTAACTTTCCGATTTCTGGTTTACCTCAGATCGCAGGCTGTCGTTCGTCATCCGTCGTCGTTCGTTGTCCTCCCACGTTGTTCGTCGACCGTATCATCGTCCTTCGTCCTCCTTCAAGAGACAGGTGAGAGAGACGACAATGAAGAGATAGAGAGGAGAGAGAGGTGAGAGTGAGTGAATGAGAGGGATGAGGCGAGAGAGGTGAAAGGTATAAGGCAAGAGTGAGTGAACCTGATGGATGATGCGAGAGTGAGTGAATTAGAGGGATGAGGTAAGAGAGGTAAGACGGCTGAGGCGAGAGTGAGAGAGGTGAGAGTCAATTTGTTGAAGGTGGTATATTTGTAATTTCGAGCCATTCGAGCCCGCAATATTCGAGCTACGAATCATTTTCGCTACGCCTTATTATATTTTGATCACGTAATTTATTTTATCAGTCTTGTATTGGCTATCAAAATATGACGACTTATAGAGATATTATTATCATGAAGAAGCATTAATTTCTAAGCAAATTCTAACTTGTTTATGGGACATTCAATATCATTATCAAGAATGATATGAAAAATGTTTTTAAAATATATGAAAAAATTAAAAGAGTTATAAAATTAGTGAAGAATTTTTGAAATAGGTGAAAAGTGTCATATATATATATATATATATATATATATTCTTGTATCCTAGGGAGACTGAGGGCTATTTTGGAAAGTTGGCTTTTAGTCACTTTTTTTTGTTTGTAGCAAAAGTCGAAAATTGACTTTTTGTCTTTTTTTTCATTTGGGAAGTTGGTCTTTAGCCAACGGTGAAATTACAATTTTACCCTCATGAGTTAAAATGTGTTATATAGGTGAAGTTATAAATATTTTAAATAAATGGGGGTAGTTTGGTCATTTTATTATGATTTGACATCATAAAAAAACATTAATCAAAAAAGTCAAAAGTTATTTTTTACCAACTTTCCAAATCGTTTGTCCAAAAAAGCCAAAAGCTTAGTTAAAAGTCAAAAAATCACTTTTTACCATCTTTCCAAAATAAGCCTGAGTAACAAAACCCTGATTACTATAGTGTAATATTTACCGCATTAAATTCAAACCCACCTCCTCATGACGTACCAAGTTACCATTAGCAAGAAATTAACTTGTACATTTTTTACCACCATTAACGTGTTTGTTCATTGTTTGAAAAGTTGATTATTTTAATTAATTTTTTAATTTTTTAATTTGATTAAAAAAATTATGTTTGAGAAGTTGATTGTTTTCTTTTTTTTCTTTTGTAATTGATTTGATGATTGTGAAGAAAAAAAAAGTAAAATAATAATAATTTAGATGTGATATTTTATCTTATTAATTATTTTTAATCAAAAAGTCATTACCAAACAGGACATTAATCTAATTAAAATCACTAATAGTAAACACAAATAATTAAAACATATAATAATCACAAAAAGTACAATGATAAGTTGATATTTATTATGAATCTGAACTCTTTCCTAAATGAGTAAATGATTATTATTACCACGACCTATGTTGGCGGCTTTGGGCACAAGTGGCACAAGTGGCACAAGTGGTCACTTTGGGGGCTTTGGGCACAAACTGGCACAAGGGGTCACTTTGGGTCCCGAAAATTAGTGGAAAAAAGGCTCCAAAAAATTAAAAAATATCATATAAATCTTTTTTTTATTGTACTTGCTAAAAAGGGCTCTTAAAATAAATATAAAAAAAAAAATTATTGATTTGGTGATTTATTTAAAACTAATTGATAATTGTTTTTCAAATATATGAATTGTGTATAGAATATTATTGATTATAATTATTACATACAATTATTTATGAGAAAAAGAAACGTTTCAAATTTGAAATTGATTAAATCATACATTTAGTGAAGTATATCACAAGAAAGATTGAATGAGTTTGGTTGATTGGTGTAGGAGGTTCGAGGTTAGAGATGTGATTAAAGAAGCAAAACTATGTTAATGGTCCAACAATGATAGAAGTGGTTGGAGAATGAGTAACAGCAACTATCTGGGAGTTGGAGAGTGTGTAGTTGGGTGAGGGTGAAGCAAGTGGCTCAAGAAGAGATGTATGACAGTACCAAAATGGGCAGCATCTCC